CTGTAAAGCAAATGAAACAAATAGTGTGTGAAACTGCACAAAGGTATGTTGAGGGGTGACCAGTGTGGGCTCGGCTTTATGTTCATCTATTTCCCTGCAGTATATAGGGTTTGATCTTCTCTAAAGAATTTTATTAAAAACTCTCATTTGTAGCCCTTTCCACAATTCACCCTCGTGTTGATCTTCTTAACGTTGCATTTTGGCCTTAGCCATTGCTGACACAGCTATCCGAAAGCGTCGTCTAGTAGCGTAACCATAAGATACGTTTCACTCAGACAGTGGAGAACACTTCTATGGCTGTTTAGCATGGCTACGATGCTTTAAAATTTTTTTTAAAATTTTACTCTTTAAAATTAAATGTATATTTGAAAAATGAATAGGTAATTTTCAACTTCTTATAGAGGAGAAACTAAATGAGTTAATCTCTTTTTTTTAAATGTTAAGCCTAAAGGTACATAATATATAGGATGATTCATTTTTAATGGAAGGATGAAACTGGTAAGAACTGAGTCTTCAGTCAGTTGTTATAAAGGGAAGTAAAGACAGTGAAATGAAATACACACTTTTCTTTGTTTAACATTCATCTTCAACATGATCTTTCTGGGTATTTGTGCAACGAAGAAATCATTTCTATAAGAGGATATGGATTTTCTTTTTATACATGCAGTAAAAGCTTTGTATAAAGCACTGAAATGTATCTAAAGTAATTCCTGTTTAGTTTCTATTTTCTCTTTGTTATTTAAAAATGTTTAATTAGTTTTACTGTATTTTGTCTCTTTTCTCTGAAAGTAGATACATGTTCCCCACTTCCCTTTTCTAAATTCTGATTGCTGTAAAGATCAAAGCTGAAATTCTGTTCATAAGTGTCCTTGTCGGATAGGACAGGGCTGGTAGTAAGGAATGTGTGTTTTCTAGGAGGGAGTTTGCTTGCACAGGCCTCTCATGTCATCACACTTAACTTCTAGGAGTTTTTAAATGTGCAGGTTTTCTTATTTGTCCTGGACAGAAGTAATCCTCCACAGAGAATCTGTCACAGGATGATTTTACAAACTCATTCAGTGGTGAAAGTGTATCGCCAATCATGATAGGCCAGTTGTTTACCACCGATAGAGAGAGGTCTTGTTTTCGGCGGTGGTGAAGTTTATAGCCTCTTGCATGTAAATACTTGTGTAATGGCAACCAAGTCTTGACGAGTTACCACTATAAGAGTGTTAGATGATGCAGGACATCAACAATTTTTTTTTTTCCAGTGGGGAGAATTTTGAAATTGGAAACAAGCATCACATTAGCCCACAAGGGAAAGGATCAGAGTGTCATTCGCTTCCTTGTTCTTAGTTTTTGGTATATCACTCCCAGATTCATGTGTACATGGGTGAGCAGAGAGATTTAAATATTTCTTAGGAGAGAGAAAGGAGGCTGTTGTATCTTGAGGGCCCATAAAGCTTTTCACCTGCCCAGTTTAAGGGTTTTTTGTTGTTGTTTTTGTTGTTGTTTTTTGTTTTTGTTTTGTTTTTTAAAATAACGTTACCTTTGACTTGTAGGGTTTTTGAGGGGCTGGCAAATGTGATTTTCTTAAAATACAAAGTCAATTTGGTGATATAAAAGACTGTCTCTCCCTCCTATGGTGGCAAAAGGACGGGGGTAGTTCACTCTGACTGAACTCTGGACTGGTCAGTTTGTGCTCAAGATTAGTAGTTTTTTTCAAGAAAGAACCTGGATTGAGTGGTTGTCTCCATCAGATTGGCCTATGGGTATGTCTGTGGGACATTTTCTTGATTGATGTGAGAACGCCTAGCCTACTGTGAGCCATGCCATCCCTGGGCAAGCAGTCCTGAGTTGGACAAGAAAGGTAGCTGGATAAGAACACGAGCCTGGAAGTGATGGAGCCAATAAGCAGTGTTCCACCAGTCTCTCTGCTTCAGTTCTGGCCTCTGAATGCCTGCCTTGGCCCCCCTCAGTGATGGATTGTCACTTGGAAATGTAAGATGATAAGATAAAACAAACTCTTTCCTTCCCAAGTTGCCAGTGTTGTATCACACCAGGCCCCCAACCCCCGCAAAAAAAAAAAAAAAAAAAACTAGAACAAGCTCCATCTACTACCACATGAATGAACTCCATAATGTTTTTTATTGAGTAACAACCAGATTCTGTCACAGTGCGTTCTTAAAAAATCCATTGATCAGAATATAGAGAGGATCCCTATGGGTAGATTAACACTTCTAGTTTTCTCATAATGCATTTACTTTTTGTTTATGTATGTATGTGTTCATGCATGCACATGACCATCCATTCTATTGTACAAGTGTATGGAGGCGAGAGGACAACTTTGTCTGTCTTCTCTCAGCTAGCACCCCTTGATTTTTGAGACAGTCTCTTATTGGCATGGAACTTGCCAAATAGGCTAGACTGACTGGCCAGGGAGTCCTATGTCTTTCTTTCTTGTCTTGTCTTGTCTTTCCCTCCCTAATGGTGTGATTGTAAGCCCTGCCATCATGGCTGGCTCACTCTTCTTCTTAAGAGATTTTTTTTTTAAAGATTTTTTCCCATTATGTATATGTTTGTATCTGTCTGTATCTGGGTACAGCACATGAGTACAGGTGCCTGCACAGGCCAGAGACACTGGATCCCCTAGAGCTGGAGTTACACAGCCATGCATGCACACATGCACACACATTATGCTATTTGTCTTTTCAGATAATTAGCAGTTGTGGAAATGTTAACTATGTCTATGCATAAGATGCTGAAAGGTTTGGTTTGAGCATCTGCATAATGCTTGAAATAGAATGGTCAAGAAGATGTGTGGTATATAGTTGGGAGATGGCCATTGTCTTCCCTTGTTACGGTTGGTTGGTTGGTTGGTTGGTTGGTTGGTTGGCTTTTGAGACAGCATCTGACTGTGTAACTGTGGTTGGCCTGAAACTCACTATGTAGACTAGGCTGGCCTCAAACTCATAGAAATTGACTTGCTTCTGCCTTGTAAATGCTGAGATTAAAGGCATGCACCCTAACATGACACTCAGCCCTACCATGATACCTTAGTTAATGTCATTCTGAGCAAATAGTTCTGGCAGCATGATTCTTTAAGTCCAGTGCACTGTATGCTGGTCAGGAAGCATGGTAAGGAAACTTCTTTTTTGGTTCCCAAATGGTTTCCAGGGCTATTAAAATAATACCATGTGCAGGCGTTTTTTCATGGCTGGAAAGAACAATTTGGAAAGGAGATGGAGTGTTCCTTAGGCCTTGAGAGAGCTGTTTTTACAGAGGGGCATTGTACTGAATGTCCTTTCAATTGTGAAACTTGCCATTAGGGCTCAACCACAGAAGAACCACCTAACAGAAGTGAAGAGTATCTCACCCAGGCACTTGCACCTGTAAACCAACTCTGTGTTGTAGCTTGCAAAGAGTGATGTATAAGACACTGTACAATTCCCAAGCAAATCCTGCAGTGGTGAAGAGTGGGTGAGCGCCTGCTTCTCATTAGAAGTTGTGTCTGGCTTTTTTTCCTGCAGAATGAGTTAGATTGCTGACACCTGTTTTCCCATCCACCCTGAGAATGTGAAGTGTGCATCAGGAATGCCCAAAAGTGCTTCCTCATGTCCCATTATATGGAGCTTAGTGCTGCTTTAGGAAGAGGGGGGACACGCTCCTTTGCTGGGAGGGCGGATGAAAAGAATTCAATGGTGAGAAACTGTTGTACACACTGAACTGAGATGGTTGTCTTCATTTTGTGTCTTCTGATTGTGCTTGTAGTTGTTTTCCAGCTGGATTATGCATTTAGCAAAGGAAAAAAAGAGCATGTGTCCTGTACATGGGAACACCTCATATTTTGGAAATAGCATGGCTATGTATTTGAAAATATGAGGAAATTAGAAATGGGTAGAGACAGTCCATTCTTATAACTAAACACATCAGCTTTATTAAGTTACTTAAAGCATGAACCTGGTCTTAAGATGCAAAACTCAAGTATGTTGTTGGTGTCGTCCATGTCTTGCACATTTCTCTTTGTGCATCTGATGTTGACCCTTCAAGCAGTATAAACTCTCTTGTGAAAACTGTTAGAGAGTGGAGCAGATAGACTGTAATGCTGCTTTAAGTCACAGATAAGGATGGTCTGCAGTATGCAATGCATTCTGCTAAGTATGGAAGAAGTAACATGAAGCACATGGCTTTTAAAGTGCTGTGTCTACACTTTATCTGGGGAGAACACAGCACAGGAACTGTCTCAGTGGTGCAGCATGCTAGGAATAAGCATATGACCTGCTTCTCAATGGTGTTAGTGGTTTGAGAAGGAAGAAAACTGAATTTGGTTTTCTCACCATTTCTAGTGTCCGAGAGTTGGATGTAGAACTTGTCCTGGATACTAGAGGATAAGAAAAGATCATGGAGAGTCAGAGGAGGCAAAAATGTGTGAGGCTGTTCTGCTAATTCACAAGCTGTGAAATTAAAGGGTATTTTTCTTCTTAAAATAGTGGCAACATTTTCCCCTGACTTGTTTGTGGGACTTGGCTGGATGTTATGAATATTGGCCTCCATTTGTGAACTCATGGTGAGTGGGGTTAGTTGGTTCGTGGCCTTAGACCAGAATAAAATTAACTGGCTCATAATGTGATTGAACTAATGACCTTGGGGCCTCCTGACTACTACATCTGAACCAGTTGAGTCAATCAAACTTCATGGAAAGGACAGTGAAGGTGTGTGTCCCTTAGGAGGAGCTCTGTATGGCAGTGAGCAAGGGGTGAGGTCATGTAGCATCCAGGCAATTATCTTCTCATCCTTGACATTTTATATGTGTCTTCTGATTAAAAACAAGGCTGTCAAAGAAAAAAAATGACATTACAACTCTCCCGTGTTAGCTTTTTAACAAAGTGATATGTGTGGTCATTTTCCTTGCACAGCATCAGATGTTCTGTAGAGGCTGCATTGAGCACAGAGGTCATTTTCATTTTAGTGTGTAATATCCCATAAATGTATTGACGATACTTTTCTCTTCTTCTCTAAAGTCAGAGCAACCCAGTCCTGCCAGCTCCAGCTCCAGCTCCAGCTCCAGCTTCACACCATCCCAGACCAGGCAACAAGGTATCAACAGCGCCCTGGCTAATGAAATCTTTTCCCCATAAAACAGCCTAATGAGTTGATTTATGACCTATCTTCTACTGTTTTATTATTTGAATGGTAACTTGGCTTTTATGCAGTTGTGTTTATTTCCCCCAGGAATGCACTTGAGTATCGTTCTCATATATGAGACCTGATTCTAGCAAGTCCCCCCCTTTCCAGTCCCTGCCGTCAGAATCCCATCTCACAAATGGATTATAGACACAACCCATTCCAGGGAGTTCCCAGAGGAAATACTCGAGTAAACCAACCTCAGAGGCACTGACATGGGCTCCCTATTCTTCATCCTTGAACACCTCTCATTTTGCTTATTTTATTTTTTGTATTTTAGTAGAGTTTTTAAGCAAAAGTGCATTTTGCTGTTTTTAAAGATACATTTCTCTACTCATAGTCACATGCTAACCAAAACTCCAGATAAATTAAACCAGAATGTATAATGAAGTATATTTTTAATGTGTGTGTAAAGTCTCCAGAAGTGGGCTCTGTTTTATTTTTACACAATTGAAGAATGTCAGAGAGTAACTTATTTTCTAGTATCAGAGTGAACATCGCCGTTCTCATTGACTACACTGAATTCCAAGTGGCCTTGCATGCTTTGAAAGAGGATTAAATTGTTGTGTGTATTTGGACTAAGGCTAAGCTTCCAAGAAAATATATAATAAAAGGCAGTGATAGTTTTGGCTATTCAGAAATCTTGTTTCATTAGCTTTCAAAGAAGTAAGCCCACTACAAAAGCGGAGAAATCTGAGTTTGCAGAATGTGAGATCGCAGGGAGTCGGCGCATGTTTTAGAAGGGACTGCTTAGTGACAGCTCCGATAGTCCTGTTAGACTTTGGGGATTGCCCAGGCCAGAGTGAAAATGCACCTTTCTTAGATGCCTTTACAGTTTTCTGTTAAAGAATGACTATTTTTTTTTATCACATTTTGAGTAGTAAAACAGGGGGAAAGCAACACTAATCAGTGTGTGTGTGTGTGTGTGTGTGTGTGTATTTTCAGTTTTGTCTGGTCCTAAATAAAATTAGTTACAGTTCCTCCAACCCCCATCTAATACTAGATATTGTCTGGATTTTCTGGGCACATGATTTATTACATAGTCTTAGTTATGCTAATACATGCTGATATTTTGCCAGGAATTTCTTTAAAAGTAAGGTGAAAATTGGCCACATAAAGTTGTTGCAACAAGATCTGCTCTCCAAGATCAATAAGAAGATCAGAGATAGGACATTACACCATGGAGTTGAAACACTTTATAACCTGAACTTGACTAAAATGCTTGCTTGACCTGAAATTGACCTTGAAATAAAGGAGCAGCTAAATCTTAATAGATCAGAAACTACCACACAAAGGCTGCATTGCCAAGAACCAGCTACAACCACAGTGATTTATTAATCTCAGCGTTTCAGTACGTGGATCAACTTAACAAAACATCCTGTTTACTAATAGATCTGTTTTTCTTTTGGTTGTGACTTGGGGTGGGAAGATAAGAATAAAATTATGCAGAAAAAAATCCTATGAAATGGATATTCTTTAATTGTTTTTTTTTATATATGTATTTTATGTGTATGGGTGTTTTGCTTACCCATTTATCTGTGTACCTTGTGCATGCCTGATGCCCGAGGAGGTCCAAAGAGGATGTCAGATTTCCTGGAACTGGAGTTACAGAGTAATAAGCTACCATTTGGGTGCTGGAAATCAAACTTGGGCCCTCCCAAGCAGAACAGCAAGTGCTTTTAGAGCTACATCTCCAGCCCCAATTTTAGGATTCCTAATAAACATTCTGGGGACTCTGATAAAAACAGTCATGTGTGAGTAGGGATTACAACCCAGAAGGTGTCCTGGATTTGGTTTCGGAGTCTTGACCGTACAGGATAATGATTGTTCTTAGCCAGAGGTCAGAACTGCAAGCGGTCCCCAGTGTCTAATATGGTCAAGTGGGTTTGAAGTGTTGTTTGATTGCCTGTGGTTCCTGTCATCACTCAGGTCCTTTGAGGTCTATCATGAAAGATCTGCACTCTGATGACAACGAGGAGGAGTCTGACGAGGCAGAGGATAATGACAATGACTCTGAGATGGAAAGACCTGTAAATAGAGGAGGAAGCCGAAGCCGCAGGTGAGATTCCCTGCAGAGGAGCCACACTGGTTCCCTAGGTAACCACAAACACCTGAACCCTGGCAGCAACTGTGACTGGCCTGTCGCTAAGTCAGTAGCAGGTCTGCCCAGCATGGTCAGAGCCCTGGGTTTGGTCCTCAGCACATTGCCTGTAATCCCTGTATTTAGGAGGGAGAGGCAGGAGGATGAGAAGTTCAAAGTCCTCCTCAGCTGTCTATCAAGATTGGGGCCAGTCTGGGTAATATACATGAGACTCCCATCTCAAACAGGAGGGAGGGAGGGAGGGAGGGAGGGTACAGCCAATGGCTAGATTCCTCTGAAACTGGTACGTTTGTGTTCATTTTTATAAGAAACCATTTTTTCCTTTTTTAAGAAGAGGTTTCCTCCAAAGCCTCTATAGGAAGAAGCCATGTCAGAAGTCCCTGCTATCTGAAAGTATATGACATGTAGCAAATTCATCTGAAGAGTTGCCCTAGACCTGTTGCTTTGGGGTGGGGGCTCCACGTGTGAAGAAACAGCATTTGCTGCTTATAGTTAGAACTACATAATTGGCTCCCGTGAATTACGTTGTGACCTAATTAAAACTAAGTTCACCTGTGTGTGTTTTCCAGCAAATAAATGCCTTTTAAGTGTGCTGACAATTAGGTTCCTTAAGTAGCTTTAATGCTGTGAGGCATAATTCTACATTAGAAGATGGTAATTCATGTCACTTATAATTAATAGTCAACTTGAAATTGCCTTGAGGATTTTGTTTATCATGAGGAAAACAAATAGGCATGCACACTTTAATGTGTTATGAGTAGAAAATATGAATCTACTTGAACTTCAAATCCAATTACATTTATAATATATTGCAATAAATCTTTGCCCATTATCTATTACTGTATAGATGGCCCTGAAATACCTAAGACAAGGGGAATCCAGGGGGAGCAGACTGGATTATGTTTATGCTTCCTAATTGGCAATTCACTGATTTTTTTTTTTTTTTTGGAGATAAGCTGCCCCTCCACAGAATGGAAACCCTATCCATTTGTAATGGCTCTGCCTTACAAAGCTAGACTTCTGACATCCTTCTGCACCTAGCTTCCGCAGTGCGTCTGCATACAGTCCTTCTACAGGTTCCTTACAGATTAACCTCTGCAGTGCATCTGCATACAGTCCCTTTACAGGACCCTACAGACTAGCCTCTGCAGTGCATCTGCATACAGTCCCTTTACAGGAACCTTACAGACTTGGCCTGTAGTGTCTTCTTTGATCTGACAAGAAGGAAACTGGTAGCTCAAAAGGATCTAAAAATGAGCTGAACCGTGGTGTTTAGGAACTGACTTTGACCACTCAAAATCCCAACCACTGGCTGCTCTCCAATTCAGTGTATTGAAAAACCACCACCACCACCACCACAACAACAACCACACACACACAGACACACAGACACACAGACACAGACACACACACACACACACACACACACCCCGGAACTCATGCCCAGGAGATCTGGTTGCCCATTTTCTATCCAGTCCAGAGTCGGTATGGCTTTGATCCACGATACTTGTTTGTGAGTTGCCTGATGTGAATGGACATTACTAGAGACACCTTCGTTTCGCCACCTGACACATACTGTTAGTAGGACGGCTCCATCTAACATTTGATCTTCAGAGCACTTGTGCAGTCTCAACTGTTTAATCAGTTTAAATACTCAGCCTTCCACTTCAGTCGAGAAGCATTTGAAAGCAGCGCTTCAACAGAACACTTCATTAATGTAATTTAGTTAAGAAAAACAAGTTCCATCAGTTTTTGCTAAAAGGCTGTCCCAATGTATCCTTTTTGTTTCCTATCTTGTATCGCGTCTGTCTGAATGTATAATAGAGCGAGGAGGATGTGATTGCCTATTCAGAACGAAAGAAAAACTGTGCTGATTTCTATAGCATTTGCTATCTCTGAGAAGAATATTATATCAGGTTACTGTATAACCAGAGAGGGAGCAGACACTGAAACGCCCTCCTGAATGAGGGCATACATTCGAATGAGCAGAAGAAAGCACCGTCTCCTCTCTAGCTAGAAAAAAGCTCCATTTCATTCTGAGTAGAAAAAAATAAATGAGAGAGAGAGTGGTGTTTTTGTTGTCTCTAGATGTTGAGAGATTATTTTTTTAAAACAGTGATGTTTGAAACAGTTTGTGTCCAGAGTGTGTTGGTAGCACATTATTGTACCCGTGTTTTGTAGTGGGGACATCACTGAAATTGTGACACAGTAGAAATGACGAATAGTGTTTCTAGAATGCTAGTCTCCCCACAGTAGCTCAGGTGGTGGCTTGTGTCACATTACTGAGCTATGAATCCTTGAGCTTCCATTTTACATCTGTAACCAGAGCTGCGGGGGGACGCATATTTCTAAGTCACGGTTTATTCAGTTTGCCAAGACTGGGGTCACTGGAAGCACACCAGCAGTGGATTCACCTGAAGGGGTTCCAGATAGAAGCAAGTACCAACAGATGCCAGCGGCTGTGTGTTCAAAGCGGCCTTCCAGTGGCGATGTTTGCGTGCCTTGCTTCTCCTGATACGTGACTCTGTCTGTGGTGGGGCCTGTGACCGTTCGGTGTTTCTCCTCAGGGTCAGCTTGAGTGACGGCAGCGACAGTGAAAGCAGCTCCGCCTCTTCACCCCTCCATCATGAACCCCCACCGCCATTATTGAAAACTAACAACAACCAGGTAAGTTGTGGGCTTTGTACTTAGCAAGATTCTATAGGACTCTACATGACCATTTTTAATCCAGCATATAACTATTTTACTTCTTAATTTTCAACAAAGGTCCTCTTTACTTCAAACAAGTGGGAATCCTCAACCTTACCTGGCATTAAAAACGCCCGTGGGGAAAGAGCACTTCTCTGTTCATGAGATGAGTGTGCGTCATTGGGTGGACGAGTTAACTGGATGCAGGAATGAAGGGTGACACAAAACGTTGCCCACATTCTCAACTTCTCTCTGTTTTATCTCTTAGCATAAATAGATGACTTAATTAGAAAGAACATGACTTATGGGACTAGCCTAGTTTGACTGGTGGGGGATACACTTTGATGTGCCCCAGTTTCTTCATTAAATAATGTTAGCACCCTGAAGCTTAATAGAAGAAGGACAACGGTGTGTGTAAAGGCAGTGGGCAGTATCTGCTTGGCACTCAGTGTATGTACATGTTTATTGTAGCTGCTCAGCCTCAGTTTCTCATTCAAGAGAGAAGAACTGTTACTCGGGAGTGCAAAGAACAATTAACAAAACAGTCATTATTATCATGCTACAAGTTGAGCTAAAAGAAAGCTTATTAATTTGATAGTCAACTCAGAATATAGCTATTCAGATAAGGTCTAAACAGAATTCTGAAAGCTGTGATGAAGAGCTTGTATTAAATAAATGAGTGAGATTGGGATATTTTCATTACTTACTAAAATAAACTGTTTTCAAGCATCATGAATATTGTAAAAGTCCCATTATGCATTGAGTTGATACTTATTACAGTAAGTTATTCTTATCTTTTTGTGAAGGCAGATTTCCTATGACCTCTGCAATAATTGCTTAATTCAAGTTGCCATATGAATATTAACATGAAAATTAAAGGGTTGCATTTTCTAAAATTATTCCGTTTCATAAGTGTTCTGCTATTTAAAATATCTTGCCCCTGAATTAGTGATCTTTGTTTTAGTTGGAGAATGTTGTATTACTGCTGTGAGGATATTTTCTTTCTTGTGTTCTGTGTAAAGAGGCAATGCTCACTTAGATTTTAAAATTCATCATTTATAAAGTTCGTCTGCAACCTGAATCCTTCATTGTTGGGGAGGAGCAGCCCCTGCCTGCACCGTTGCTGCTTAGCTGTAGTTTCTGTCCTGCATGGGAGTGGGGTGCAGCTCCTCATTCTTAGCCTGGCTTTGCTGACTTTGCTTTCCCCATCTCAACAACCAGCCATGCTCTCTGTCTGGCCGTCCTGCATCCCCGCATAGCTGCCTTCTGCCACAGGCCAAGAGTTCCAGGGGAAAACATCATGACCAGTCAACTGAGGAGTACTAGCTAACTGGATACCTTAACTATTTTATGAACGTGTGCTTTAGTAAAAGCTGGCAAAAGAGTAGCATTAGGACCTTGACATCTTATGTCGAATCTAACCCTATGTAGGCCTTTTTTCTATGTCCAGGGGACAGTATATCAGAATTACGATTCTTGCAGTAGGAATGTCTAGATTTAGATGGGCATGCCTTTATACTCTCTCCAGCTGTCTTCAGCATCTCTTCCAGGCACTGTGTGATCAGATGACTTGCCACGTAAACGTGGTTCCATCAAGCTCCTATCTTGCCCTTCCTGACTGGGCACTAGTGAGCTGACTTTGGTTCTTGGGAAAAGTGTAGATTCTTTACCACAATTGTTACCCATCTAGCAAACCAAACCCCAAACAAATAATATCATCTATTTGGGAGGGTAAAATACACTTTATCTGATTAAATATAGTATACCACGATTTTCTTGGAATGTTCATTTGATACGTGTAGCTTCTCACATGCATAGCATCATCTCACCAATACTACTCAGTTGTGTGTCCCTTTCTCAGTACACCTATGAGCGTAAGAACAAAATCCATATGCTTTCCATGTTAACTAGTTTGGAGTAGGGCATTGTGTGCAACAGGAGCACTTACCTCCTCCTCATGCCTGTGTCTTGAAGCTAAGAGCAAGAAAGGGGTTTTGAAAATCAGTAGTGATTTCTTAACCCCAGTTACCTGATGTGGGTCAAGTGTGATAGGATCCCTTTAAGTTAGTGTTCAAAGACATTAAAAGATATCATTAGTATTTCTGTTATGTGGTGAGACACCAAAATTTTCTTAAAACCCCAAATGTCTCTTAAATTTCATCCTGGAATGTTTTTAGTATTCTAGATGAATGTGTAAGGGAAGGTGCACTAGAGAGCTCATGTATACAGGCATGGGGTGGTACAGGCGCATATGAAACTTCACCTCAAATAAAAAGGGTGGTGAAAACAGGAAAGGCTTGATTTTAAAATCCCCAAGTTTTACTCTCCATACCCATCGACAAGTGTGTTAGTTAGCTTTATATTGCTGTGACAAAATACCCAAGAAAAACAATTTTAAGGTAAAAAGTTGTGTTTTGTCTCAGTGTCTCAGAAGTTTTAGCCTGTGGTCACCTGGCTCCATTGTTCTTAACCTATGATGAGGAGAGCATCATGGTTGGATTAATTTGATGAGCAAACCTCATGTAAACAAAAAAACGGCATGAGAGGAAAAGAAAGGGGCATAGGAATAAGATATGCCCTCCAGGGACCCACTGTTTTCAGCCAGATTCACCTTCCAAATTTCTATCAACTTACAGGCATGTCAGGAGAGCCATCTGTTGATTAAGACAGAGCCCTTATGATCTGCTCACTCAAGTCCCCACCTCTGAACACTCTGTAGTAGGAACCAAGCCTTCACCACAAGAACCCTTACGGAACACTCTAGTTCCAAGATATTAATCTGCCCTCTTTCCATACTTGATAATGATCTTGCAACTCTGGGTATCAGACACAGCAAAACTGTCTGATGCCCCATCTCCAACCTCCAGGATCTAAGGAAGGGATAAAGTGCTAATTGAGTAGTTAATTTTCTATCTACTGAAGGAAGAAAGAACCTAGAGCCACATGTCAACAAAGCAAAGAAGTGAATGGAAGCGTTATTAGGAGCTAATAGTGGCTAACATGGAAAGCCTGCCAATAGACAATCCATCTGTTCCGTGATTGACTTGACCTTTCTCACAAAGGGATCCAGAAAAGTAGAATCTTGAAATGTTGATTCCCAAGCCCGATCCTCAGAGTAAGGATGAAGTACTACTTCCTCTGTATTCAGTGATTACCATGTCTGCTGGTGTTTTAATTCAGTACATTGGGTGGCTTTTTCTCTCTACTTAGTTTATTGGTAAATAATAAAAAGTTTAATGATCATTAAACCAAAGATAGCTCCCCCCCCCAAACACACCTTGTGTAAAGCAAAAACAAACAACCCCCATCTTTTTAGCCAAGTGTATGGGGAAGGGAGGAAGTAACCACTGAATCCAGCTAATATTCAGAATATCATAAATCACCTGCCAGGCATGGGTGAAATTCAAAAGAATCGATCCAGTTAAACTGGTTTGAAATAAGCCTGTGGAAGACAAGGTGTTGTACTTTTTATATTCTGGAGTCAGTCCCCGAAGATAAGAAGTGATCATAAGTAAAACAATTGTCTTCAGCATGGCTCAGTTCTCTCAGAATGAGGTTTTGACAAAGCTGTTTATTTTGGAGCAGGGAGAGATCAAAGAAGGAAGATTAGCTGAGGCCTCTCTGGGCCGCCACTCCGTAACTTGAGGCGGGTCACTGACACCCGGAGCTTTTGTTCCTGCTCCCAGGGCCCCAGGAGAAAGAAACCAGGGTTTGTTTCCATGCATTTGGGGCTTCCGTGCTGTCACACTTTCGGAATGTGTGGAGTTGGACTTAAGCACCCAAATGTTCTCCCTGTTGCCTGCTTTGAAGCGAGGTTGCAGGACTGTCTGAACCTAGCTTGTAAAGTTCCTTTGCAAATATAGCATCTTCAGACACTTGGAGAGCAAGGCGTGGGGGATGGGGCCGTGGGAGGGGCAGATGTGATGGGAACAAATTCAGTTCTCTGAAGCACAAGGCAAACGGCAGGGCTGCTTTCTCTCTCCTTCCTGCCTCCAATCGCTGCTGATTGTCTCTGTGTGGCCCAGCCCGGTGCTGAGCTGGCCAGGAGTGCCCTCTGCTGACCTACTTATTCCAGGTCTCTGCGCGGTTTCCCCTCGAGGGCTCCTTTCTAGCAGCAATAAAGAGAAGGAAATTCCAAATGCACAGGAGATTTTTGAGCATGTTAAAAATGATTGCCTTGCCTGTGCTATTCCGTAATTTCCGTCTGTTGCCTAAAGGGTAGTATTTTAAGTTAGCCTGGCCAAATCAGTCATTTGCTTATTTTAATGTTAAAAATGAAGGCGTAAATGTGAATCTCGGGAAGGATTGTTAGAATGCACGTTATTTATGCATATTTTCAACTCAAAGAGAAATACTTTATTGAGGAGTATTCATGCCTGTATACCATGATCTTATTATTGCCAAACAGGATACTTATTTATTAGTAGTATAAAATTTTATAGCCGAATGGGAGTACAGACATTATCATATTGTCTCTTCCATTCATTTTTGTAGGCCCTAAGATGTTAACTGATAAGGCAAGACATCCAGTCCCATGCTTTTGTCATCACAAATTAAAAGTGAACACATTCTTAAGATCGTTTATATACTGTGTAGTAGACAGGAAACAAAACTCTGAATTAGGACAGGAAACAGTACAGGGAAGAATAGGTGGAATATGGGACTTTAAAAGAACAAACATCCTTAGCATTTTCCCCTTTGATATTAGTTTCTGATGATAGGATTGAGGTCATGATGAGAGAAATATAAATTGCTCTGCTTTATGTGTATGCACATTTGTAAGCACTCTTCATTAATAAATATAGTTATCCTCAGCCTTTTCAAGCTAGGGTCATTTAAAAATATTTCTCCCAGAACCTCCAGTTTTGAAGATCCTGTATAATAAATCAGTGATATCTATTAAATAGTAGTATTCTCTTTGTTAATTATGAGCATGGCTCCCACCCAAGCTTCAGAACAGTGTGTGGAATTACAGTTGGTCCAGATGAAGGCAAAGACACTGGACATTGTGTCATACAACAGTCACATCATTTCTTCAAGCACAACTGTTTCTGCTGTCAAGGGATCCCAGACTAACTGACGGATGGCCACCTTCACTCCCAACCTGGCATCCGCTTAGTGGAGTAAGCGGCTAGCATCTGAAAGGCAGGTGCTCCAGAGGACAAGGCTTGTTTTATCATTCCTAGCCCACCAAGCACTAGGACTCATGCTGAAGCAGCAGAATAAGCAGGGAAAAGTCCTGCCAGCCGGGACAGCAATCTCAAAATAACTCAGCTGCTATGCATGCCTGAGTGCTGTCATGAAAGAAAAGCGCCCTGGGAAGCTTAGATCAGTTTCCTTATCATCAATGTTTTCCCTAAGCTCTGCTGCTCTGACTCAGCATTTAATATATAAGTAATTTATTTTCTGGGGGGTGGAGGTGTGGGGGGGGGGGACAAGATTAGAAAAGAAGAAAAATGTCTAGAGAAATGCTGTTTGGGAAACAGTGTTACCGTACATTTTGAATGCTTTTGTTTTTTTGTGGGTAGCTAGCTAGAAGATTCTTGAAATGAAACTTACTAGTATTTTCTTTGATCCCTAGATTCTTGAAGTGAAAAGTCCAATCAAACAAAGCAAATCAGATAAGCAAATAAAGAATGGTGAATGTGACAAGGTAGGTTTCCAGTCCATTCCTGGGAGTGCTACACCTGGCATGTCTTTGTGTCTTCGTGCTCCCCTCCATCATTCTTGCTGGCTCCCTTCCCATCTTCACCAGAAGTAACCAAGACTCCCGAGTGGATACTTCATCCCTTTGTAGTTCCCTTCCCCCTGACTTGCTCTTCTCTTCAGTATTAAGCCTGACCTTCTGTTACCACTTGTCATGATTCCCACCTTACCAAGGAACTTCAGGTGTACCACATTGGGATATGTGAAGATTGTAGCCGAGGCAGAGCAAATCCCATACATGAGTAAGCAGGGTGCCTGAGCCCTGTGCAGGAAGCTTTCTGTCTGTGTATGATGTACATAAACTCCGACTGTAAGACTTCAAGAGATGTTACTCACCTGTTGTGGGTGGGGTTTAACATGTCGGTAATCTTCCCCCTTTGCCTTCACTGAAGTTGGCCCTGAGGCACCCACGCCGTCAACTAACGAGGACTCATGAGTCTGAACATATGAAGGAGAGGTTCAGCTGCCCTTGCAAGGAGAGTTGTTCGAACATATAACTAATTTGCATAGTGATTTCTGCCTTTCATAGAATATTCTGTTCTTTAGTCATTTACTGGGATCATTTATATAACATTTGGAATACCTGAGAACTTTTTATCCTTCTTATTAAAAATTTTTTTCCTAACATAATATGTTTTGATACTTCCATGTTCAAGCTTAGGTGTTTTGTCCTGTCTAAAAATTTTTGAGATTGAGGAATTAAAAATGTAAATGGAAGCCGGGCGGTGGTGGCGCACGCCTTTAATCCCAGCACTCGGGAGGCAGAGCCAGGTGGATCTCTGTGAGTTCGAGGCCAGCCTGGGCTACCAAGTGAGTCCCAGGAAAGGCGCAAAGCTACACAGAGAAACCCTGTCTCGAAAAACCAAAAAAAAAAAAAAAAAAAATGTAAATGGCCTCTGCTATCATTAGTTTAAACTGATGATGCAGCATTGGATCTCCAGGATTCCTTGCAGAGCCCTTGTTGTGGGAAACTGAGTCTACTCACTTGAATATAAAAGCAAATAGCCCTCCCACATTTTGAGGCAGGTTTGATAAAGGTCAAAATCAGAGCAAGGAACTTCACCTGCAGAAGCCTATGAGCACGGAGTTCCATGTAGCCTAGTATAGCATGGTGGGTGAAGACGCTAAGCTCTGCATGGATGTTCTGTTTTTTTAAGACTTATTTTTAACACGTGCATGTGCGTGCGTGCGTGTGCGTGCGTGCGTGCGTGCGTGCGTGTGTGCGTGTGTGTGTGGTTGTGCATGAGTGCATGTGCCTATGGAGGTCAGGTGTTGGATCTCCTGGAGCTGGAGTTACAGGCAGCTGTGAACCGCCTAACATGGGTACTGGGAACTGAACTTGGGTCCTCTGCAAGAGCAGTACATGATCTTAACTGCCAAGCCATCCCTGCGTGTACGTTCTTACTCTCACAACTGCCTTTTAAAGTGTTGTTCTTTGGGGACCACCCTTCTCTTTCAGGCATACCTAGATGAGCTGGTAGAGCTCCACAGAAGGCTAATGACACTGAGGGAAAGACACATTCTGCAGCAGGTGAGAAATGCTTTTTAGCACAACCTTTTCCCCAACCTCAAGGCCTTGTTTGTCCTGGGGCTGTGTGGTAGCCCACGGAAGCCACCGCAACCTCATACCAACACAACTGGAATTGTGCCTGCAGAGATATTTGGGGAGGACTTACATATTTGAGAGTGCCCTTTGGAACACTCATGAAACTAAAACCAGGCACACATGCTCCTTCCTTCCAGCTCATAGCATATGTGGGCTAAGAGCAGGGTCAGGAGAATGCAGAAACTTTGGGGACCAGGCTTCTGGATTCATGGGAAAACAGTGATAAGAATTTAAGTCAAGTGCTGTAAACATTTGTCAGTCAATTTGGCAACCTTTTGCCAGTTCTATTCTGTGGAAAAATAAATATTTTTTTTCATTTCCCTTATCTTGTACAACATACGTTGCATTATCATGAACTCAACTCTGGAATGCTCATAGCATGAGGAAACTTCTATTAACACAATGTGATGTTTTGAGAAGATAAGAGGGGTGGTTTTTAGTTCTTGTACAAGTACAGTCCATGCCTTTATTCCATTAACAGTGGCTGTTGATAAGGCAATTTTTCTCTAACCCTAGGGAGGCTGTGTGTTCCAGATTCCATAGTAGATTTGTGCATTGCTTCACTTACAGTTTGTTTTACTACTTTAAAATGACTTGAAATTAGTACTTAATCTACCTTTGTAATATATGAACTATTTTTTTTTAAACATTGGTGGTTGCATTTATATTCTGTGTCTATCTCTGCTTCAGTCTATAAATACTCTCAAATTTGCCAACTTCTCTTGGTCTAATAAACCTTTAGCCCTTCTAGGATTTGAAATAATAGACTTTGTCTGTAGACCTGTGATTCTCCATTTTAGAGAAGTTCTAGGCTTTTCCTTTCCTTTTAAATGAGCATAGGTGGAGGAGCTGTATCTGAGTGTCTTTAACTAGGGCGTGGTTGGCACTTTACTCGTAGTCCTCTCATCCTTCTCACCCCATCACCAGAGCCTGCAACAACCTCAGGGGGTGCCCTGTTCGCTATTATTTATGTATCTCTTCCATTATTCTCATCATTTCTGGGTTACTTCTTATACCTAATACAATGCAGATGCCATGCACATCATTGTTATCCTGTATTGTATGGGGAATAATGACAAGTTCAGTAAAGAAACATCTCCTTTCTTCCCCCCCCCCCCAAGAATTTTCAGTCCATAGTGAGTTTTATCTGAGGACAAAGAACCTGGGGATACAGAAAAACCAACTATACTTTCTTCAGCTTTCTTTTATAGAACAGAAAGTTGCTCATTGACTAAATGCTGATGGTAAATCCGGTAGCTGGTCAGCCTATCTGCTCCCAAGCAGTAACTCTAAGTTACTAAAGAACAGTTGTCAGAAAAAAAACTACTGAGGCCCAAACTGGGCCCCGGTTGCAAGCTTGGCTGTTGGGCAAGTCTCACCTGGGAGTATCATTGGCATCCTCTATCTAATGTTCTTTATTTTGACCTTTGAAAGAACTGTGATTGTAGGTGGCTTACTTGAGAATTGCATACAAGTGGATTACTTTAGTATTCTAGAGGGAAAGAGTAATATCTATGAATTTTTAACCTGACATAAAGGCACTCCAGGGCACACAGCATTTCACCCTAATTGCATTCCCAGGCCAGTTGAAAGCTCTATCTTTGGCCATTTGCCTTGTAATGCAACTGAGGCTTGTGATTCTGATACTGTGATATATGCCCTGTCATGGTTTACTGCTTAATTAATTCATACTGTAAAACGTAGCACAGTGGAGGGCTGATGTTATTCTCTACCTTGAGGGCTGCTCATCTGGTGAAATGCATGCCACAAAGTCTGTGAAACCTCTACTGTGCAGAACTGCCCATCTGAACCAAAACTTCTGCTGAGGCCACAATAGTATCCTTGGGTTCTTCCTTTAATGTACCCTTATTCCAAAAATGTATTCTGACAATTTTATTTGTCCCACCAAAGCTGGATAGTAGCATTATTTTACTCTGGGGGCATGCTGTCCTGGCTCTCAATATCGAATTTCATGAAAAGAAAACATTAGATCAGGAAAGACTATATTCCTATGGCCCCTTTCCATTGGTTAAAAATTCAGTAGGCACAGGCAAAGCAAGGGCGTGAGCATCTAGCCTCGGTTAATAATCTGTTTCCTTGTTAAACTATACATTCCATATTTATTTTCAAAATGAGGTTGGACATCTCTGGCCTCATCATCAATTCAGCCTGGGATTGCATTCTATTATTGAAGGAGAAAAAGTGAACACCCACACACACACACACATGTATATATATGAAGAAAGGGGAAGAAGGGAGGAGGAAGAAAGCAAGTTAGGGAAACCAAGGCTTCCTTAAAGGACAGTTTGTCAACGTAGATAGGTCTCTAGTTTTCTTGTAGATTGTCGTCAAAGTTGCAGGGATGGGTAGCATACAGGAGTGTTCTTAGCAACACAAAGAATCTTTCCTGAGAATATTCTGCTGAAATGACTGCTTCAGTCTTGAAAATTACCTGTCATGTCCTAAAATTCCTTGTACACTCTAGCCAGGTGTCCTCCCCTGTGAGCTCAGGTGGGGCTCACGTTTTCATGTGACAATACGGTTTCCCCATTGTACAGATGAAAGACCTGAGTTACAACAGGCCAACTCCATTCTGGATAGATAAAGTCAAAGCAAAGGTTGCTCATGACTTCCCATTCAGTGAGTGGCCACTTTGGATGGGAGTAACTTGTCCTGGTATTTGAACAAAGATAATGAGACAATCACTAAAAATAATGTCTCTACCTTTTTATAATTAAAAATAGATTTGGTCGGGCGGTGGTGGTGCACACCTTTAATCCCAGCACTCGGAAGGCAGAGCCAGGAGGATCTCTGTGAGTTCAAGGCCAGCCTGGGCTACAGAGTGAGTTCTAGGAAAGGCACAAAGCTACACAGAGAAACCCTGTCACCAAAATAAATAAATAAATAAACATAAATAAATAAATAAATAAATAAATAAATAATAATTTTGAAGAGGAAGCCACCAAAGTAGCAGGTAGATCTTACCCTGTTAACACAGAGCAACTGGCAGCTGCATGGTGACACCACCCCTTCCCCAGTGAAGCAGTTTACACCCTCTTCCTTTCCCACTCCCAGCATGTACCCTGTCCTCCTGTGCTTTTCTCCTCTGCAGCCTCTCTGGCTTCTTCTGCTGTCATGCGTGGGCATTGGGACCACTTTGTGAAGCCGCATAGTGACACCACAGTTGAACCACACTGCATCGGCAGACAGGGCATCGCCTTAGGAATGCCGAGTGTAGTCCTTCAGGGATTAGGGGGGTGTTTTCAGGATTTGTGGCCTGTTTGGTTGAAATAACACATGCTAATGTTGTGTTTCTGATGCTCTGGCATCAGGAGCCCTGGAGAGGGATGCGTATCTTTCAGAGCCTTTCCTTAAGTGAGGACATTAGTACACACTCAAACTATTAATGCTGTTTTTGTTGGTGAACAAGACCAAACTCTCCCAAATGCATTTGCCTTGGCTACTGCTTTCGGTCTATGTTTGCATCTGCCTTGATGTATTTTCACAACCCCCATGCAAATGCAGGGTCTTTGGTTAGCTCCATCAGCTCCTGTGTGTGCTGTAACAAGGGTCAGATCTGGTGGCAGCAGAGATGGGAGGCTGGCTTGTGAGTACTGGAAACCCTTACTATACTGAGTGAGTTTCCTAGTGGCCAGAAGTTTTGGTGATTTAAAATTCAGCGACTTTCTTCTACAGACAGTTCTTGTCATCCACTTTTCAATTTATTGGTAAGTAATGTGTAAGTAACTATATTGAGTCATAGAGAGCTATTTTCCTGAAAGAGTGCATTCCCTGTCATTCAAAACAATAGTAACACAAAATCAAATGCTGGGCTCTACTTCTGTCTCTGCATTGTGGTTCGTAGTCATTCTGACAACTTGGCTTTATCCGTTTTCCCACCTTCTGTCTGAAACTCTTAGTTATTAAAAACAAATTCACTTAGGCCTTTCTGGGTTTTCCGTCCTGCATTGTTTTCCAATGTAATATTTTATTGATTATTTGGGAATTTCACATCATGTACCCCAACACACTTCTCAGTCCTCCCAGGTCCACCTCCCCACCCTTGTGACCACCCACCTAAAAAAAAAAAAAAAAAAGGAAAAAAAATGAAGTCCAATTTGTGTTGCCCATAGACTTAGTAGAGCATGGCCAGACTCCCACTGGCCAGTCCTTCTCCGTCAGCACCCCCCCCCCCAGAAGCCGTTAATTGTGGAGAGAGTTACACTTCAGTATCCTCATCACAATTTTTAAGTTCTCTTCAATGGTCTCCTGTCTAGGCTGTTGCTTTTGGAGGGTGGGGATGGGACTTGGGTAGGAGTTGTCACAGAAGCTTTCTAAGTCACTTTTTCTTGCTTAGTTTGTTTTCGTGGAGTGAAATGGCTGGCAGTCATTGAGGGCTGTAGGGAGATGTACCTAGCCTGATAGCCTTGTGTTGTTTACTTCTCCCTACAGGTAATTAAAGACACATTTCTGTTTATGTGGTAATCCTAACCATAGCGCCCTGATCCCTGTAGCAAGTGGTCATTGTATTTTACTTGGTTCCTCTGGCAGCCTGGCATGTGGAGCAGAATGTGTGATTCAGCCCCAACTTCTGGATGAGAACACAGTGATGTTCACATGATGTTCCAGTGGTGAGCAGTTCAGATCGTAATGCCAGAGTCAAGACTCACTTCTTAGTGCTTTGGCATTTTCTTTCCCACCGTCAGTTCAGGTGTGGAAACTCCAGACTGCTTGGCATTTGCCTCTGTTGTATAAATCTCTAATCACAGTAGCTCCAAGGGAGCTATTTGTTCCTGTTTTGGTCTGATAGTTACTATTTTGAGACAGAACTTGCCATGTAACCCTGCTAAGCCTTGAACTTGCAATCCTCCTGCCTCAGCCTCCTGTGAGTTAGACTGACAGGTTTACACCATAAACCCAATTTCTTATAACAGTGGTTCTCAACCTTCCTAATGCTGCAACCTTTAATACAATTCCTCATGTTGTGGTGACCCACAACCATAAAATTATTTTTGTTGTTGCTTCATAACTATAATTTTGCTACAGTTATAAATTGTAATGTAAATATTTTTGGAGATGGAGGTTTGGCAAAGTGGTCATGACCCACATGTTGAGAACCACTGTCTCCACTAAAATCTACAAGTTTTTACTGGATTCATAGTTTACCTATATAATGTAAGAAAAGAGATAACTTGCTCAGGAAAGAATGCTTTAATTCAACCAGTTCATCCTTGTGTATATTAAGTATCTGACTTCCATGAAAGTTTTATATGTATAGAAATAGCTATGCTGTGAGTTTCCGTATGTGTGCATGTGTGTATGTTGACTTTTCCTGAGTTCTAAATTCTTAGCTAATAAAACAAATGTGTGTCCATTTAAGGTCTTTTGTGTCAATTGGTGACTTTTCATGTTTGGTTCGTTTTTGTTTGTACTTATGTAGAAATAATTGTTTTGGGTTTTTTTTGTTTGTTTTGTTTTTTTTTTTTTTTGCTTTGTTTTGTTTTGTTGCTTTGGACAGAATCTCAGTCCCATAGCCCAGGCTGGCCTTGAACATAGAATACTTATCCCTTAGCCTCCTTGAGTGCTGAAATTATAGCATTAGCCACTATGTCAATATGGTAATAAGCTCTTGTGTAGTTCTGTATAATGATGTACTTTAACAATAAATGGGCTCATCCCTTCTAATAATCTTCTGATACACGATAAAGAGGTCTGAGTCTAGCAGCACAAGCGAGTAAGACACTCTACCCTACTTCATCCTAAACACATCAGCTGGCCTGCAGCCAGGTAATCCAGGCTCTGTGTTAGAGTTTAGAAGACGACACTAAGCATATAGACTCAGTTTCTGTTCTGCCTCTTTCATGTATTCATCTTTTGAGAGAAAGATAGCTGTTATACTCCCAAACATGCATCTTCATTACAAGTAAGAAGAGCAGAAGAGAAAAGGCACACTCACACAATGACCTCAAGAATTTTCCTAAAAAGCCCAGTGACTTCTAACAAGTGCTGCAAATGGGTCTAAGGAGACAGGCATTTCTGCTGCGTGTGCCACGGTGAGAAAATCGGTAACTCTTAGAAAGGTAAATGCATGTTAGGTCATCAGTTTGCAGTGTCTGTCATGGTTCCCCAACCAGAGTGACTTGTTTTGTTATTAAAGCCAGGGTTTTAGCTCCCAAAAATAGTTCCAGGGGTTAGAAGAAGCCTTCAGAGCTCCATCTGGAGATGGACAATTTATTGGATTGAGGTGTGCACATTTGTGTTGTGTGTGTGTGTGTGTGTGTGTGACCAGGAGCACATTTTATGACCCACAGGGATTCACTCACAAATGCTTTCAGGAAACTAGCTTTAAAATAAAGAAGATTTTAGCCTGGAAGTAGTGGCACATGCCTTTAATCCCAGCACGTGGGAGGCAGAGGCAGGCGGATCTTTGTGAGTTTGAGGCCAGCCTGGTCTACAAAGTGAGTTCCTGGACAGCTAGAGTGGTTACCCAGAAAAACCCTGTCTCCAACCAAACAAAACAACAAAAAAAAAAAGGTTTCTAAGTTCTAGTTCTGCAGTTTTCCAACTTAATGTTACATAATTTAAAACTTCACTGAATAACTCATAGGCTAGGTAATCATAACCAGTTTTTAAAGATAATTGAACTAAAGAGAAGCAAATAAGAAGGAAGTTGCCAAGTGAAGCCTCAGCATGAAAGTCCATCCTCTTGTCCCGTCTGCCCTCTCACGAAGCTTGCCAGAGTGAGTCCCCAGCCCTTTCCTAGACAGCCTACTAACGTAACAAGCATGGCACCTATGCCCAGCGTCTTTTTTTTTTTCTCCCCATTTTTGAAACAGGGTTTCTTTGTGTAGTCCTGGCTGTTCTGGAACTCACTTTGTAGACCAAGCTGGCCTCGAACTCAGGGATCCACCTGCCTCTACCTCCTGCCTGTGTGCTGGGGTTAAAAGCATGTCCCACCACCGCCCAGCAGCAGCATCTATTTCTGTTAACATCATTGCCAATACAAGACTACTCTTGGTAAAGGAATCCCCCAGAGCCATGGCATGGTTGACAGTGCGGCCCTGTGGAGTGTTCCTCAGCCGTCCCTTTGGCCTCACAGCCAGTGTACATGTTACCATTGCGGGTTGGAGCCAATACAATAAGAAATGAAGTGTGACTACTTTACTTGTAGGGCAAAGGCATTGATTCCTCTTCTAGGGAAAGTTTATTATCCTGAATTATTCAAGAGCATTCGCTGAACACAACAGAAAGCAATACATGTATGTTCTTCTGTAACATATACAGTACAGTGAATTTCCACAAAGTAAATGCAGTGTGCAAAGCCGCTTCCAAATTCAACACCAGAACAATTCGAGCCTCCCTGGAATGCCTCCTGTGATCCTCCCAAAGGCTCCCTGGAGTCCCTCCTGTGGTCCATAGTGGGTAGGGGTCGCATAGGTGGTTTCTGGTTTTGCTCTGTGTAGTCTAAATATTTCATAATTCTATATTCAGAACATTGATTTTTTTTGAAGATTTAATTTTATGTGTACTGGTGTTTTGCCTACATTTATATATGTGCATGTCTGGTGCCCACAGAGATCAGAAGAGAGTATTGGAACCCCTGGAACTGAAGTTATAGGTGTTTGTGAGCCGCCACTGTGGGTGCTGGGAGCCAGTGCTCTTAACCTCTGAGCCATCTCTGCAGCTCCTGGAACTTTTTTTTTTTTTTTTTTAATTCATGTGTTCTTTTTTTTTTTAGGAAGAATTTTTATTTCTAGCTGGAGGTTCTTACATCTACTAAATATAGTCATAGTCTTTTGAGTCAGGGACTAATTGTTTTTTTTTTTGCCCCCCCCCCCCCTGCTTTGGAGACCAGGCTGGCCTCAAACTCACAGAGATCCGCCTGCCTCTGCCTCCCGAGTGCTGGGATTAAAGGCGTGCGCCGCCACCACCGCCCGGCGAGACTAATTGTTTTTAAAAAAAGGTCTTGAACTGTCCTCTTTCTCTAGCCATCTTAGTAAAATGTTCTGTTGGTGATTTGAATTGGTTTATTGAGTACGCAAAGTACAAACAGGCGATCTGTCCCTTTGAGGATTTTATTGTCAAGGCTTACTACTTCTTTGACTTACTGAGTTGACTAACAGGCAGTTTGGTGGTAGGGTTGCCATTGGACCTTGTTGTGACCCTTGTTGTGATTAATACGAATGTTTCACTTGGTTCTGTTTGAGTCCTCCGTCTCCTTCTCTTTGCCTTTGATGTCTGTTGCTTACACCCATACTTTGTCTTCTTTACTTCTCCAGATCGTGAACCTTATAGAAGAAACTGGACACTTTCATATTACAAATACAACATTTGATTTTGATCTTTGCTCGCTGGACAAAACTACAGTCCGTAAATTACAGAGTTACCTGGAAACATCTGGAACATCCTGAGGATACAACAACTGGATACATCAAAAACTATTTTTTTTTGGTTGTGATTTTTTTTGTTGTTGTTGTTTATATGAAAACACTCAGAATGATACAACCAAAAGGGAAAAAAAATAAAAATCAAACAACCTTCAGCTTTATTTTTCTTTAAAGCCAGTCATCATCTCTTGATAAAGGAGAGGTTACGCAAACCAGCCTCAGAGGACGCACCTCTCCAAGGAAATCCCAGGAAGAGTTAGCCTGGCTAGCCTTGAAAACACGCAGCCGCAACACAAGAAAACTTAAGGAATGTGTATAGTACCATGGATCTTTCTGTGGTGGTTCATTCCACAGGACGAATGCATATTCAACACACTGCCTTATTACATAACTGATCTATTTATTACCACATACAGATAAAATTGTGAGGGGATGACACCACCAGATATTCTCAGTACTTGGTCCCATGGATGCTCTTTCAATGCAGCAGCGCCCTTGCCGCCCCAAGCCCAGTGACCTTACTCGAATACCGTGCCACTCTCCGCCGACTTTCTCCAAGTCCTTTCACTTGTTGCAGTCTATGTTTTTCACCTTTGTTTTTTCCAGTTCCAGGACACAGTTGTCCACTGGGGGGGCGGACCAAATAGCCACCTTGATTTTCTTCCTTGTGGTCTTTTTTCCTAAAAGTTGAGGCCCAGTCCTTGGCTGTATCCATGTAATGATCTTGGACGTGGTAGATGTACCAAATAGGATCATTTGATTTGCTGTCTAGCCTTAGTCAATAAACCTGTAGGACTTTGAACAAAAGTGTACCTGTCCTGTCCACGGTCCAGCCCTGGTGAGCTGTGACTAACACTCCTGTGTCTCTTTTACTGTTGCAATGTTAGGTGAGTATGGAGGTAAAGGCATTCCACAGAGTCATCGTCGTCAGAGGGATTCTGGTCCTGCTTTCTAAAACAGCAGTGTAGACATTCTTCATTTGGACCTATTTATTAGTGAACATTCCACCTGTCTTCAGCTGCCAGGGTGGTACTCATTTCTCCTGAAAACAAAACAAAAACAGGAATCAGAGTTTGGGGGTTTTCTTTTGTTTTGTTTTTGGTTTGTTCTCATATGATTGATTCTCTTAGGCTCTTTTATGTTTGAGAAATTAAAACCTTTCTTTGGGGGAAATTCTCGGTTATTCTGCCATGACAGACGATGTATTAACTTGTAGATTTTGTATCTGTTTAGTCTCTTGCTGATGTTTCCTGAAGGACTTCCTGTATAGGTGAAGGTAAAGGTAGTTGGGATGGGGGAGAGTCTAGTCCTTGTTGTTCCTTTGTTTTGAAATTAGAAGTCTGTCCTGTGGCATGCAGAAGAAGGCAAATTATTTTCAAAAGAAAAAGAAAAAAAAAAGTACTTTTGGTGTTATTATTCTACACTCCCTGTGGTGGAGGAATCCCAAGTTAGAGCAGCCAGCCTTCCACATTACCAGAACTCAGCTGAAAAGAACAGAAATGAAGAACTACTTCTGGATCCAAAGGTTCGCCACTGGATCAGCCTTAAGAAAGTCTCTATGTGTGCTAACAGCCTAGTGTCCCCCACATTTGTTCCCACGACAGATGCTGTCCTTTCATTCAGAGATTAACTAGTGTCTGCACAGAAAATGGTCTTCCCAGACCCGTTCTTTCAGGCGGTAATGTAAATGCAGATTAATAATGGAGCGATTTCTGCATTTTAAAAAGGAGATTTTTTTACACTGTTTCTTTCTATCCAAAGAAACTATTTTTTTCTTTTTTTTAAAAAAAATGATAAAACAGCCATGGTCTTTGTAAATCGCTTTCCTGCAGTGTCCTCCTAGAGGACAAGTGTATAAAATTTCAAGAATGTTATGATTCCTCATGATGATTGGCATGAGTCGTACTTGAAGCATTCGGTGTGTAGTCCACTCTTTGGTGTACAGTTGCATAGATATGTACCACGTCATTTTGGACAGTAGGTGGTTGATGGACTATGTGGTTTTAGTTGTGTTTTATTTCTGACTTCACAGGTGACAAGAAAAACAATGTTTTCAACATTCATAGATCTTTTCCAGTTTCTAACTGCAAATCCACATATTTTCATTAAACTAGAAAAGTAAGTGGTTTAACTAATGTATCTGTATAATTTAACTAGAAACATACATATGCAGTTTGGGCCATTTTTATCTTTACAACCAAATTATGTGGTGAAATATGATTTGGCTTTTTGTTGTTGTTGTTGTTCCTAAAGTTACGGAGGAACTAAGATTAAAAAAAATATTACCCCACCACCTGATGCCCAAAGAAATAAAATTTAAAGGGGTGGGAGTAAGAAGAAAGGCAGCTATTGTAATGACAACATTAGAGCTAGAACATTAGCTAATGCAGATGTCTTCAGAATATCATGAAATGTGAGTTTGTATATGGATAACGAAATTCAGAACAACTTCTTCCCGATCTTTTACCCAGACAGCAAAATGAATTTCCTGTAAAATTCTGGCAGAATAAGAGTCATGCTGTAGAATTAGTCTTCTTTGGAATGGTCCTCCTGCTCTTGGCATATGATTTGAAAACACAGAAGTAATGAGTCACATTCAACTTCTCTCAAAGAGGTGCCACGCATCTCCAGAAGCAGACCACTCCCTTCTGCCACATCTGTGTACACTCACTTTGGAACCCTGTTAAGAATATTTTGACATGTGTACCCTAACAGTGGCTTTGGTCTTTTAAGCACAAAGGGGAAATGGCAGGGTTTAATTTCATATATATATACATATATATGTTTTGAATAAAATTAATTGGGTGAATGTGAATATGGTTTGAACCAACAAGAGTATGATAAACTACCATTAATTTTTTTTATTCTGTGATTTGAGGAGGAAAAAACTATGTACAGATCCCACACACACGCATGTACTTATAAATTAGTTTTTGATTTTTGATTTGCAATAGGTATGTGTGTGTGTGTGTATGAGGGGGGCTTCTCCTATCTTAGGATACACCAATCATGTTAGCAGCAAAAGTGTATACAGTTACTTCATATCATCACCATAGTCTGCCCCTTCTCTTAGGTAACATAGCTATATATCTGTGTCAAAATTAGGGAAAGCATAAAAGTTATGAATCAGGAGATGACTTTAGATAAAAAAAAAAATTTGGTAAGCAAACCTCTAATCTGAATAATTACCTGATTTGTGGAAATAGCCAATAATTTTTTTTTATTTTTCTTTTATCAAAACCAATTGTTGCTGATACTTTTTGCAGGTATACCAACCTAAACTTAAAAACAACAACAATTATTAGGTCTGCATAACATCCCATTTACCATTTCAAGCCCTACAAATGTAGTTACACACTTGTTTAAGAGCGATTTTACTCTTAAATGCTTTAACTCTACCTATGTAATGAGTTGGTTGTTCAGTGTTGAATTGGTCAATGTCTGTGCTTGGTGGCTTGTGTTCATTTTTCTCTCTGTGGAAGTGGTCAGCTCTAGAGTAATTTGCTGTATGCTTATTACTTTCCACCTTTAGCGTTTTGTGTACTAATGCTATGTATTCCTATATTTATATATATACATATATTATCAGAATAATCTTGCTTTGGACTGTTGCTCTCAAACTATGTCTACAGCTGCAAAGAATGTGGCGGAATCAATTCCCACGGTGTAGGTTAGTCTTGGGCTGGAAGTCTACATCTTTCAACCTCCTCTGTTTCATATGATGCTTTTCATTATGTAGGCACCGCCATCCGGAATATTCCTTGTAAAGATGCAGTTGATTTCAAAGGAAGACAAAGCCACTGCTGTCTGTAAACTGTAAATATGTATTTTGGCACTTGTACTCCAGTATTCTGAAAACAGAGTTATGATGGAAATGCTGACAGATCTTTGATGGTGGCCAGTGCTACCCTTCAGTGCAAAAATAAATTAAGTGAAAATGTATTCCGAGATTAGCAGTGCAAGGCCAACATGTTTTACAAATCTGTCAGTATCTTTCTAATGGAGTGTGTATGTGTAGTTATGTTGAAAGATACACTGTGTATGTGTGTACATGCTTTTATGTGAACTACAAGGCACACAAAAGATGTATTTCCCATCTCTAAATCCCATGTTGAAATGTTAAGTGCAGATGGACAGAAATAGGTGTTTTACTTAAATTCATACCTAATCTATTGTGACTCCTTTTTTATTTTTTATAATGTACAGTCTTACAGATTCATTTGCTCAGTATAGCATCACATAAGGGTGAATACAACCTTAGCCTTTCCTCATTTAAAAAAAAAAATGTGTTTCTAAAGAAAAATGGAGAGATTGGAGACTCCCGGAGAATGGACCATGTACCCCAAACCACCTGAGTACAGAGGCCATCCTCATTCATCTTTGGGTACCCAGTTCCTAGCCCTGTTTCCTGTGTCCTGAAACCAGTACATAGTTTCAGCACTCTGAAGACTCATCAAGAAATGGCAGGCACAGTCTTATGATTAAACTGAATTATTTACACCATAGTTTTTTTTTTTTTCTTTTTCCACTATCCCTCTGGAAGGTCCTTTTTTTTATTTTTATTTATTTATTTTTTTTTTGTAAACTAAACTATGCTATAGCTAGACAAAGTCAGTTCACAAATTCTAGCATTTACTTAGCTAGAATAGCATAGAAAAATGCTACTCTGGTTAGGCAGGAGGGACAAAAAAAAAAAAACCTATAATGCATTCTTTGACAACTAACCAAGGAAGTGGATGTGGTATTCTCCTTAGAAGCAAAGAGATTCATATTAAATATGTGAAGCTGACCTCTTCTTCATTCAGGCTGACAAGCCATTTTGAGGATTATTATGGACTGCCTTGGCTTTCGTCAACTGGAAACAATTATAGGTGTGGAAGCCTCGGTCCCAGATGGGCTGACATGAAAAGCAAACTCTGTTGACCACTCTTGAATTGCACTGACTTCTGTCCTTCCAGCACAGACAGGCATTTGGCTGTTTGAAGTAGTGCATTTGCATCTTCTGCAGTGTGAAGAAAGAGCACCAGGGAGCTGCTGGAAATGGCTCTGGTACTGTCCCAGAGTCTTACTGGGTGTCTGAGCGTGCCTCTTGGCCCAGAGCAGTACTCCATTTGGGTAGGCAAGGATACCCAGAGGGGATTGGAAGACCAAGGCCCAATGCCCAGCCCCCCTGCGGTTGGTAATTCAGAGACACACTATCCAGAACTGATGTCCTTTGTTTTCCTTACTAAGAGCAAAGCAGTTAAAGGTAGTTTATTGGTTTTCTTGGCGGGGTACCACCCAAAGAGAAAACGCTGAGCACGTTCAGTGCTATTGCTTCTCTGCCACATAACAGTATCCCCACCTTCCTGTGTATGCAGTCCCCTTCTTGAGAGGCATTTCCATTCTTTCCCAAAGGTGGTAAAATTGCCCTTGCCTCTTAGTTTAGTTCTCTTGCTCTTAATTTCCCTTTAATTAAAGAAGGGTAACCAAGAGCTAACCAGAGAAATAATGGCAAAAACCCAAATCGCTCCCATGATTCTAAGTGATCCCTGTGGCTGTTCTACACCATACCCTGATGGAAGGGCTTTTTGATTCCACTTGTATAATAATGGGGTGATTATTGGGGCCCTAGGCAGGCTGCACAGAATAGGTGGCTAGGACCAGTGAGAGCCATAGAGTGCAGGCAAAGCCACTTGCTCATTTTCCCTGGTAACCATGGCTTTCTACACAGCATGCAGCCCCCACCACAGAGTTCTGTACATTTCAAAGCGTAGGAAAGGATAAATCCAGGTCATTAAAGGGAAATAATCAAAGCTATTGAAAAGATAAAACAAATGAGACACACCAACAGGGCTGTCTCTGCGAGTAATAAGGTTGAAATGCTGATACTGATTTCCAAGCAGAGCCCGCATTCCTGACGCATGTGGTTTGTGTATCTGCGTCTGGGTGGGTGGTCTGGGGAGAAGTGCTAAACACGGCAAGATGGCTTAGTTTCTGAGCAGTGGAGAGAAGCTTTGAGACCAGCGTAGCCCATGGCATCTGCAGTCCCTGTAATCTAAAGACACTTTCCTTCTGCTTTGTTAGAGGGGAAAAAGTTTGAACGCGATGTATTCATTAGAGCGAAGTTCTAGTCTATCCAAGGGTGGGCATATGTGGGTGAGAGGGTGTGCTGAAGCACCTCCCTGCCCTGTCACAGCCCAAGGGGTGGCATGGGTGGCGTGGAACTTACCTTCTCCATTTATTCTACTGTATCCCCTGGGTGCCAGGCATGTCTTGAAAGTGGTAACAGCTTTGAATAACCTTGATTTAGATAGAACAGTAAAATATTATACTGAAGATACATATGTGGTCCTCAAAGAGCCAAAAGGAGTTACCCTCATGTAGATGCCAAGGGAAACCTCAGTCTAAGGCAGGAGGGTTCTTAAGAGGAATAACCAGCCCTCCTGGGCTCCTGAAATGTCCAACAATAGCTTTGACAATCATGAATCATCCTGATTGGGTCACTTCCTGAATGTCCCTCAGAATGCCTAGTTATTTTGGTTTTTATTTTGACTTTTATATACTTGAGTGAAAAATCGTTATTTTCCAAATTTTTTATTTGTTTACTGGAAGCCCCCCCCCTCCCCGAAGACCAGGACTATGCCCACTACTGGCTTTCCAGGGCCTGGAATAACTTTAAGACAGTCTGTGTACCAGTCTACATCACATAGAAGTGTTGAAACATTTTGTGAAGAAATTTTACATTTAATAAGTTTGGGAAGACTGCCTGATATTTAAACTTCTTGGAAACTCATGGCTTGCTGGCCCATTAAATCTCTGGGAGTTACATTCTCCAACAGAGCTTGTTTGACCACAGTACAGCATTTCCAAAAGTACACAAAGCAACAGTAGACACATAGGTTATTGATAGATGTTTTGCTTTTAAGGGAAACTTCCTTGATCAGACTAATTTTTAACTATATTCTTAACTCATTTACAACTATATTTACAACTCAGTTTGGAATGGTAGTGGTTAAATAGATAACAGTGCATACTTTCAGAAATAGATATTTACGTTCAATTGACACATTATTGTCCAAACTGGGACATTTTTAGAATAAAGTTTGTATTTGCAATCATCCTAAGACAAGGCAAGTAAATGGAGGCTTTTTGACAAACCAGGATACCTGTGCCAAGGAATGCACTTTGAAACATGCTAAACTGAAATATACCCTTTGATTTCTTTCTGTCTCTTTGGCATATGCATGAGAAAAGGTAGACCCTATAGGGAAGAAAATACTATTTTTCCCCTCCTGCCAAATTCATGATTCATATCCCTGTAACAAATATTAAGTGGGGAGCATAACAAGTTACTAAACTTTTAGATGGCATGGGAGCCCTTACAAATATCCACAGACCCAGAGATAATTGTATTTTTTATGCTTACATTTGAAGAGCAGACAGTTGTGTAGAAGGGAGATTGAACACAAAGTAGGTTATACCTAATTGCAATGAGAACTTAACAAGGCCTAATTCAGATCTCTTGTGGCCTCTAAGTATTGACCAGGATCCCTCTGAAATGGTAGTCTATGATCCACTTTTAGGCACGAGAGACAAGAGAATGTCTTTTCTGACCATGCTTCCGGAGAGAAGGGCAGGGGTGAGGTGAGAGTGACCCTTCGCTTCTGTTGTTTAGAATACCTGGTGTGACAGTGCTGTATTTGCAGGTGAGGGGTTCTGAACCCCAGCTGTCATCTATATGGTAATTTAATGTGTCTCCCTCACAGTAAAGGTACCTTAGGGTCAGAAGTTGAGAGGATGTTTTCAGTACTGCCAGAGAAGCCTTAGCTCTTGACTTGTTCAGTGGCCATCTCTTATATCTGCATCCCTGCCTGTGTTAGTTACTTCAGTAAGTGGCTAGATAGGGTCTAAGCACCACTCTCATTTTCAGGAGCACTCATTCTTTATTTGGGATCCTGTTTCCAGAGCCTTTTGCTTGTTGAGGCTGCAGTGGTTCTCCTTACACGGGACACTTTGGCTGGAGATGCTACATCGGCATCCCACCTGCTGGGTTACTCTGCTATGGTCAATCTTGGCCACTGGCAGGGTGGTTGATCCAGCCACACTGGACTTGTTTAGTTGGCATGTCCTCGCACAGTGAAAGCATGTCCTAGAATTTTACTGTTCTCTACTCTGTCACCAGGCTAGGCTATCTGATTTCATTTGACATTTTAATGGTTCTCAGTTGCATAAGCATAATTCCCAGCTTAGAACAAGCATTCAAAGAATGTTGAGCCAATGGGTAAGTGGCTTTAAATAACTCTCATCCTTGGCTTGCAAGAAGGTTGCTATCCTGATGGCATTCTGTGCTTTCTCTTTCCCCAACCATCTCCCATATTCTGTTGTTATACTAAACATGGGACAGTGTGCAGACAAAAGCTGTGGGCACCAGAGTCAGAAAAGCCTGGTTTTGCATCCCGAGCTGTGTAACCAGAGATGTACTCTTCTGAGCTTTGGTTTGCTTACCTCTGAGATGGTATTAATGCGCTTTTGAAGATTAGGGGGGTTTGGTGTGTTAAGCTTACTGTTATGGTAGTGGAGTTTGACAGGAGTCTTCTTTCCTCCTTTCTCTGTGTCAAACTTTGCCAAATTATATGCTACTTCCCTGGCACTATTTGCCATTAAGCCTTAAGTAGAGTTAAGCCTGATTGTTGTTAGCCTGTTGTAATATGCCACAGCAACAGTCCCAGTCACTGCCCTTACACACACACACACACACACACACACATTGTGGAGAAGTCACTGTGTAACAGACTTCTGCCCCCCATGGAAAGGAAAGGGATCTATAAACAAAAATAGTTTGCATGTCTCTCTAGCTTCACAGTTAAGTGACCTCTGACAGAGTTGGACACATTTCTACTGCTTAAGCTTATTTGTTAGAGGAAAAAATGGTAAAGCTAAGGTCCTCAATGTCCCACTTTCCCTTAAA